TTGATTAGGGTTGGAACTAAACTGTACAGAGCTGCGGCCCTTTTGGAACTGAGTTTGACACCTGTGCCCTAGACGATCTTAATCCAGCGTTTCTACGATTCTGCCAATCATATTTTCAAGTTCAGGAGAGAATTAAAGGCGGCTGCACGAGTCTTTTCATTGTTTCACACACGTTGCTCGTTGACATTGAAACCTCCAAATGATGTTGAAAGAGTCACATTCTGTATTTATAAGGTATAATTCACCTAAAAATGTCATTTTTGTCTTCATATAATGATGTTTTCGCAGCTGGGAAATCACACGTGACGTGAGCTGCTGACCGTGAGCTGTTATCACAGAGGATGCGCGTGCGCGCTCTACTTAATGATAAACGCGCACGTCTACTTTAGTGAACAGAACCTGCATATGCTATGAGTAACAGGTAATAAAGTTGTAAATAATATTTAGTTTGTGGCACAGAGTGATCGTTTGGGAGCTGCGCGCAAAGTATGAACAAGCACTTAGCAGTCAAAATGAAACCGAAAGTGTTCACATCATTTAAATGATCATATCACATTTTAGAGTTATGATTACGACAAGCATTTGTTATGTTTTTTCTTTCATAGCGATCAGAGTTGTGCATGAAAATAATGTTTACAGTGTCAGTATAACTACTCTAGCCTATATATTGTTGAATATAATCTGATAATGACAAATGTCTGATTTTACCAGTGAAAAAATTGTCTAGTAATGTTGCCAATGACAGATTGCAAGCATATATCTCAAACATAATAATTCAACATCAGAATTATTATAAGTAAAATAGAATTATTCATTTAAAAAAAAAACAGTAGACCTACACAAAATATTATTATCGATGTTGTGCCATGTGTTTGTTTTTACCATACCTTTATTTTACATCTACAGAATCGTAAGAAAATCGTGATCTTTATTTTAAGCAAAAAAAAAAGTCATGTTTTTATAAAAATAAAAAATTGCGATTCTCATTTTAGCCAGAATCGTGCAGCTCTAACATAAAATAAACAAACTACAGTCATAAATAAACACAATGGAGCAAATGTTAAAGTGAAATAAACTGATTTCTGGGGAGTGTCTAACAGTATTCCAGGCTGAAAATATAGTAATCAAATGTAGAAGTGCAATGCATAGTCTTCATCATATAGGTAAATCAATACAATTTTTTTTAAAACTTTTTTATCCTCTATATGTTCTCTTAAAATGCTTTAAACTATTAAAATGTTCACATAGACCTTAAAACACATGGCTATTTTAAATGTTCACTCTGTAACAGTTCAATTCTGTAGTGCCTCCACAAATCTCATGTGTTTTGGCCTATTGAGGTAAAGTTGGTTTTATATTCGCACATTCAGACTTTCTCCTTAATAACATAATTTAAGAAAAGTATTATTTGCAAAAATCTAAACAGTAAAATCATATTAGCAGCCAATGACTATCAAATTACACCATGGTTCACAGTTAATTATATAGTGCTAATGTGGTTTTGAAGTCATTTAAATGTGATTTCAGACCCAATATTTAAATTAGCGTGCTTAACAGTATAAGGACTGTCAACTGAATGAATGTGCGAATATAAAACCAACTTTAGCTCAATTTTTGGCCTGTGGATTCTCATCATCTATATTCATAACTCAACTTTCCATATCCTGCCATGTGCCTATTGCGGACACACCCACATTGCAATATCGAAGCTCAAACAATATGTAGTGCAGCCCTAATTCAAACTGATTATTACTTAACAGAAATATATTGGTGTGTTTGAAAACCAAAGGATTTACATGTAGAAAATGTGTAAATAAAACATTTCCTTCATATGTGATGCTGGGCCAGAAAACTTGTGTCTCGTGTCAAGTCTTGTGAAGTTGCACAGGTACAGTTTGAGCAACAGAAACAATAAATTTTATGTGTCAACATTTTTTATTTTTCTATTATGCTAAAAATTATTAAAATATTAGGTAAAGATCATGTTCAATCAAGATATTTTGTACATATCCTACAGTAAACAAAATCGTTTTAGTTTGTTATATGTTTTGCTAAGAACTTAATTTGCACAACGTTAAGGGTGATTATTCTAAATATTTAGTTTTTTATCTTCAGATTGCAGATATTCAAATAGTTGAATCTCTGATAAATATTATCCCATCATAACAAACCAAGCATCATAGGAAAGCTTATTTATTCAGCTTACTGAAAACTCGATTTCAAAACGATGAAAATTATGGCATAATTACAATAAAAGGTTATATTCAACGAAGTTATATGGACACTTGAAGCCTTTAGATACAGTAAACACAAGTGCAAAGTCTGCAATTATTGAAGCAGGCCCGCTATGTAGTTTTATGGAATAAATGTTAATGCGGCTTGCCATATGGTATGCAATAAACAGCTTGACTTAAAGCTAGTAACATGAACAAACGCAACGTATTGTCAACGGAAATACCATTGTAAAAAAATGCTATATGTCATATACTAAGATCTGGTCAAATAAATTAGACGAATAAAATGTAATATAGCGCTAGTTAAAGGCCTCTGCAGCTCAGCGGCTAATCTTCCCATCATGACCGAACACAAGCGCAGCTCCGCGGCTTCAGCAAAACAGACTGCAGCAAAACACCGTTTCAGCAAATACAACACCTTTACCTGTCCTTGGCGGGTCTGTTACTGTCAGAATGAAGAGGAGAAGCACAAAACCACCGCTGTCAGCCTTCGGCAACATTTATCCTCCATTCATGGTATCTTACACCGGAGAAAATGTGCGAGAGAAAATGCACCGATTAATCACAATCAACACCCATTCGGTTTATTCCGTCGAATATAAAGGAGGTTCGGTGCTCGGGTTTCTTTATTTCACGCGTCTACGTTTGGGAAATAGTGTTATAATCCATAGCTGTTTCCTCTGGCTCGGTAAACGGGCTTAGGACGGATATAAAACAAGATGGCTCCGCCACCGTCCCATCAAAACAATCCCAACCATGTTCTCCAGCCCACAGCCGGAGGAGGAGGCGCTACTTCCGCTTCTCATAATAACACACGTGACATTTCCTTCACAGCTTCCAGGGAATATCGCCAACATGACACATTTGACAACCAGAAGGAAAGTTACATCTGATAGCATTAAAATATTGAGTTACTCCTCAAAAAAGTAACTAGTTGCGTTACTTAGTTACTTTTTATAGTAATTCCCTGCTGAAAAAAACAGCTTAAACCAGCCTAGGCTGGTTGGCTGGTTTTAGATGGGTTTTGGCCATTTCCAGACTGGTTTCCAGCCATTTCCAGCCTGGTCTTAGCTGGTCAGGCTGGGAGATGACTAGCTAAAACCAGCTTGACCAGCTTAGCCAGGCTGGGAGCCCAGCCAAAACCAGCTATGTCCAGCTTAAACCAGGCAGGTCAAGCTGGTTTTAGCTGGATTTAGCTGGTCATTTTCCAGCCTGACCAGCTAAGACCAGGCTGGAAATGGCCAAAAACCCCTCTAAAACCAGGCTGGTCAACCAGCTAAAACCAGCCAACCAGCCTAGGCTGGTTTAAGCTGGATTTTTTAGCAGGGAAGTAATGCGTTACGTTACCTTTTGAGTTACCTTTGCGTTGCATTTTGCATCGCTTCCAGAATTTGTAGGGGTTTTTTTTCTTTACCAGAGGAGCTCTGTAATTAACAAATTAACAACACTGTATGACCTTCATTTACCTTTAAAAAGCACTTTAATAAAAAATAATAATAATATAGAATAATTCCATCTAGTGAGAACTTCCTGAGGCAAGCACCATATAGCAGTACAGATTAATGAACGTTTCAAGCAGAGATGCCCAAACTAGGGCCCATGGTAACGTGATTTGGCCCACAGTTGGTTGTTGCTAGATCTTATATCGTTGCGGTCAGAAATTAATTCAAATGATTTATATTATTTATAAAAAAAAATTATTAATTGTCTTTTATTAACATCTACCCCAACCCTAAACCCAGCCATCACAGTAAGGTAAAAACTCTAGTAGCACAGAGCATTATTTAAGTTATCTAATAAATTACCCATTAAATTTTTTTTTAACGTCTACCCCGACCCCTAAACACAACCATCACAGAACTGTAAAAATATTAATTATCGTTATACAGTGTCATACAAAATGCTGCTATATAGGTGTGCAATATAGGGGAACACCTCCCAAAAGACATTATAATTTGAATGGCATCTGCTCTTATGTTAGTTTGTTTTTGTTATTCCCAAGGTTTCCATAATCCTGGACCAGGCCGTATCATGAGCAGCTGCTGTGGTGGTCATGGAGGAGTGGAGACAATGAGATTAAGACCCCAGTGACAGGAAATTATCCATGGCAACTTTCATAAAATATAGTTTGCTATATTTACCTTCAGCCCACAACCCTCAATTAAGTTTGCTTTTTGGCCCTTCATAAGAATATGTTCTCATGAATATGAGGCATCTCAATTTAAAGCAATGTGTTTGGTACTTTTGTAATTTTTAATAGTAAAGTTAAATCACTATCCATTGAGACAATCCCCTTTAGCATTCTGTCATCGAGTGCAGGATTCAGCGGTCCATTTTAATTCATTAACTGTCCATGATTAATACATTAATTTTTTGAAATGTAATAAACTAAACTAAAAAGTAACTACTCAAATTTATAAAAGTAATATTATTATTTGTAATGTTATTAACCTGTAATGCGTTTCCTCCAACTCTGCTGACAACTGACAAGAAAAACTTCACACAGAAATGCCATCTAGCCCACCAGGGACTCGAACCAGCAACCTTCTTGCTGTGAGGTGCACAGTGCTAACCACAAAGCCCAAAAATAAGTTTATGCAAACAAAAATAAATGCATACAGATGCACACTATTAGCAACCTCAATGCACTCAAAAGATCTGTTTTAAAAGTTTACTAGCTGATCAACTTCCCTATGGAGAAAATGAATTACATTACAATCTCAGAATACACAATACGGACTGTGAAAGGACACAGAGACGCAGAAATGCGTGTACATTTTCTTTTAATTGTGCCCCTGAGACCTTACAAGATCAATATTCAGGAGCACTGAATCATCCTTGTTCAACATGAATCAAGAATCAAAGTTCAAGTGAATCAAATGATTCACCCTATTGAATCACTCGATGTGGATGACAAATGAAACTATCAAACGTGTGTATGCTAGCTAAAACAAACATATAAAACAAAATAAAGTAAAGAAAACACTTTAAAAAAGGTTGTAGTCGTTAATGTGTTTACTAACATCAACACGTAATGAACAATGCATTTATTACATTATTTAATCATGCTAAGTCAAGTTGTTCATGTTAATTTACAGTGACTAACGTTAACAAGCATTTAAATTATGCATTAGTAAATGTTGAACTATGATTAATAAATGCTGTATTTTTCATGTTAGTAAATACATTAACTAATGAAACCTTATTGTAAAGTCTGACCCCAAAAACCTGCAGGTTTTAAAATCGTCACACTTTACAGTAAGGTTTCATTAGTTTTGTATTTACTAACATGAACTAATTACGAACGATACTTGTACAGCATTTATTAATCATCGCTCGGCATTTACCAACGCATTAATGTTAACATTAGTTATTGTAGGTTAACATGAACTAACAACTGAATACAAATACTGTAATAATTGTCTTGCTGTTCATGTTAGAAAATGCAGTAACTAATACAACCTTATTGTAAAGTGTTACTGACAAAACTCCTGTCTGAAACGATCATTATTCAATCGTTTTCACATTTTTTAAAATAAACGTAATTAAAAAAATGATAATAAATACAGTGCACAGGCCACGTTCCAGTGTGTTTTCAGAAGTAATCCTGGGCTTTCCTCCGCTTGGGCAGCTGCAGCAGGTTGTCTGTGATGGAGGCCGGGTCTTGGCTGGCCGGTGTGCGTGTTTTTGTGGGTGTGGGTGTGAGAGTCGTCAGGCCTCCAGATGGAGTTTTGGCGCCGAGGCTTCTGTGCGCAGGAGACGGCGTGTAGCTCGCCCGCAGCGCTTTATCTGTGTATTTGCTGGACGATCTGTTTACCAGACGCTGGAGAGCAGGAGACAGGGCTGCGGGGCTCAATCCTTTCGGTGTGAGGCTGGAGAACAGCACAACATATACAGTATTCAGTCAGAATTACTAGCTTTCCTGTATATATTTTCCCCAATTTTCTGTTTAATAGAGAGATGAGCACATTTGTAAACATAATAGTTTTAATAACTCATTTTTAATAACTGATTTCTTATCTTTGCCATGATGACAGCACATAATATTTGACTAGATATTTTTCAAGACACTAGTATACAGCTTAAAGTGACATTTAAATGCTTAACTAGTCTAATTAGGCAAGTTAGGGTAATTAGGCAAGTCATTGTAAAACAATGGTAACTAATACAATCTTATTGTAAAGTGTTACCAAAATACATCTCCAATATCTGTAACGGCTGGTACATCATGACGTCTTTGAGCTTTCAGCATTAATTCATGAGAAAGACTTGGTTCGAACCAATCAGCAGGCTCTGTTGTGAATGAGGTGCAACTTCGTTAATATGCATGATCGCTTCGAAGACTGTTCTTACCAGTGTTCAGACGGCAGAGAGACGCCACGTTGTGTTGCCAACAATAATCAAAACAAGTGAAAGCAGCAGAATTGTTTGGAGGCACGGGTCAACAGTGTTATATTTATAAATGTGCAGCAACGAATGTTTTGTTTTCATTTCCCCGCTATGAGAGCGCAGCTGGACTCGCGTGTGGATTAAAGTGCTCTGCTAACACGTGACAGAAATATGTTCGTGAGAAACATTTTTTACCTGAGAGCTTTCCGCATCTGAAAATGGTGACATCCGGATTTGCCGTTGGTATTCTTTAAAAAAAAAAAAAAAAAAACGCGGTTCTAGTTGGTGTTGATTGTCCTGTCTCTACAGATTTGGTAAGTGTGTGACCAGTGTTCTTTGTTTATGCATATTCAGAGGTAAAGTTAGTTCGTATCGTCAGCAGAACTCTCAGTTTTTAAAGACAGACCTTAGTCAAAATGATTTAGTTACTAAGTTTACAGTACGTTAATGTCACTACAGTATTATAGACTGAAAGATCCGCTGTAAATGCTGCTCTCTGAATGTAAACACCTCTATCAAACTATTACCGTCATGTAGAACTTTCACCACATTTTGTGACAGGATAGTCTATACACACACGGCTTTCTGACGCTACCAACTCAGTGCATCTAAGTTACCGAGAAATGCAGAGTTCTTTATTTCTCCCATTCGCCGTGCGGTATCAAACATTGCATCAAAACTTCACTCTTCCAGCAGTTCCTTGCATGCAATATCTGGTTTGTCACGGGGGGCATGCAGGAAATGTTCCTGAATGAAAGTGAGAGTCAAACTGCAGTTAAACTCCACAAATGAATAATTTGATTACTGATGTTCATGTAAACAGTTACCGTCTTTCTCCCCTGCGCCTGTGTTTGTTTTGCCTCGGTGAAAATCAGCGCATGCTCAAACTGAAACTCCCATTTTTATGCAGCTTTCCTTTTTCCCTCCCCTGACACTCCCACCTAAACAAAGCTAGACACGCCCACTTTCCTGACTTTTTTTTCCAACTAGAGGTGTGAAAACACCCTGCAGAGACAGGGGGTTTCGTGGCTCTTTAAACTGAGGTCCCGTTTACACTAGTGCGTTTTAGTTTGAAAAAGTCGTTAAAAGACCTAGCGTTTCTGAACATATCTCCGTCCACACTACGCCACCAAAAACAAAAATCACGTGACCATTCGCACACTCCGGGCATGCACGTTCTAGCGAATATATGCCGCTGCTGTAGTAAAAAAGGCAGAAGCTGCGTCCCAAATCGCATAATTGTGCACTATTCTACGCCATTTTGTAGTATAGTGTAAGTAGTGTGTTCACATTGAAAACTCTAATAATAATAAGTGAACTTTAATTACCCGGATGATGCACTCATTCAGCCGGTAAAATGAAGTGTGTAATGATGGACACTTCACGCACTCAACGACCGCAGGTTTGCTTACGTAGCGGATGGGGCGGAGCTATCGGACGCACATGTTGAATAACCTTATTTGTTTTGGATGGTGAAAGCAAAATTCTCCTACAAGAGTGATTATATCGCCTCCCGATGGTGAATGTGGCAATACTCACGGCAGGTATTATTTGATAATTCGGTCGTTTATTTCACTGATTTGGTGACCGTCAAACGTCATCAGGGAAACGGTTTGAATTTCCGCTTAGTAAAAAAACATTTGTGTGCCATTTGGGACGCCACTACATACATATACTATCCTGTTGAGTGTGTAAGTGCGTAAGTACATAGTGCATGAGTGCATAGTGTATAGTGTGCCATTTGGGACGCAGCTAAAGTTTAACTGCACAATGGCGCCTAAAACAGACAATAGTACAAACAACGCTCCCATTTCTGTGTGCATGTTGTTGTTTACAGTGAAGGCTGGTCTGCTGTCTTCCGGTAGCGTTAAAGCCATGTGTTATAGTCATGTGATAGGGGCTTGACGGATAAGGGAAGGATAAGCAATGACACAAAAGCCCCAATCAGCTAGCAAATCACAGCAGCTCCATCTCCGTTTTCAGATGTCTCCGTTTCCCCCTTCCACACTGAGACAGAGCAGCAGCGTTTCAGAATGAAAACAACTTCTCCAGCATTTCCAAAATGCTCCGTTTTCGGCGTTTGAAAACTCCGGCGTAGTGTGGACGCACGGCGTAACCGTAGCAGAACTGAAACGCATTAGTGTAAACGGGGCCTGACAAAAATATTTCCACCCTTTCCTCTCTGCACCAGACACTTTCTCATAAATGCACTAAACAACAATGTTACAAAGACTCAATAAGATAACAAAACAATCCTAAAACATAAATAAAAAAATTCAATATAGAACCAGATGTGACCTGTTGGTAAAAGGTTACTATATTGTAAATAAATAAAGTTTAATTAAAGTGTAAAGGACAGTGTTTAGTGTTTAATTATAGTGTAGTAAATGAGTGGTCTTCAACCACCGGGCCGGTTCGCGGATCAATTGGTACCGCGCCACACAAGATATCATTAACTATTTCCGTTTGATATATTATCTGAGACGGAACGATCTTTTATTTTGAAAAATGACCGTATTCTCTCGCTTACATCTCTTTGAATGCCCAAATTTAACCCACAACAGCGAAATAAGTAAGAAACAGAGGTCTCTGGAAGGTTTCTTTGCCAAGGGGAAAAGGTCCAGTGAACGACCCGCAAACTGCCAAGGAACAGATCCGTAACCCATCTGTCAACAAATCAGGTGAATCCACCATATCTGTGCACCAAGATCAACTGCTGGAGATCGCAGATGACAGCGGCCTTTTAGGGGCCGTTCGCATATCGCGTCTTTTCTAGAGTTCAAGAGTGGCGTGACACGCTCGTGCCTTCCAGACACACCCAGTTAAATAAATCACATGACCGGTCTTTCCTATGATTGTTAAGCGTGGACCGGTCCGCGTTGATAAAAAGGTTGAGGATCACTGGTGTAAAGTACTGCACAAACTTTAAATAGATTTAATAAAAAACATAGCAATTTCCAAAACCAGAAAAAAATAAACTAAATTTGTAATTAGTAAAAATTACTAATTGTTTACCTGGCGAGGTTTTCAGTGACTTTACGCAGCGCCTCCTGTTTCTTCGCTCGGTTTTTGGCTGCAGCCTCATTGGCCATTTTCAGCCCCAAACGCTCTCTTCTGCCCGGCTCTGGAATCTGAACACATCCACAAAAACCAGTGAAAGCATTAGTTCATCCAAAAATTCAGTTATTAATGATCCTAACGACTTTGTTCGTCTATGCGTTCCTCATCAGATCCGGTGGTTCATTTACTAAGATGCTTTTGCGTTGTCTCTAATGTCAATACATCCTTATTAGAAACGAACACCCTGATGACTTGATGCAGAAGAAAAGACACAGGCGAACAGTTTTTGGTGCACAAAATTGTTCTTGGAGCTTTGTATGATTACAGTTGTACCCACTGAAGACTCTCAGGCTGTTTTGACAATGTTTTTGGTTCCTTTTTTAGACTTTGAGCATCTCAAGACCCTTGCTGTCATTGAAAGTTTTTTAATTGATAGAGAAAAAATCTTTCGGCCGAAAACTGGGGGCCAATTTCGGTGTCTGAATATTCAGTGCATCCCTAGTGGTTTGTGCTGCATTCTATAGAAATCCCACTGCGAGCCCTTATTTTTTGCCAGCCAAGTCTGCGCACAGCTCAAATGACTGAAAACTATCTATGGAGGATGAGAGAGCTCTCAGATGATGAGCTCTCTGAAGATGAATGAAGGTCTCAGGGGATTGGAATGACATGAGAATGAGTAATTATTAGGCCCACTTGGAAACTGGGCATGTAGAAATCCACAGATTTGGGTGCATTAATAAAACTCAAATAACCTGTTCGTATTCACAACAGCATAAAAACAGTGACACGTCTGTTTACTAGAAAAGGGCCAGACCTTGAATGATGGACCGTGGCTTCTCTCCACAAGAGGAGTATCTGAGCCCTCCAGACGAAACGGGGTGCTTTCAATCTCACCCCACGTCATTAAAGGAGACTCTGCAACACCTTCAGGAAAAAAAAACAAGACATTCAGAAAAAAACAGTACTACTTTTTAAATTCTGGATTTTATTACAATGTTAAAAAACAATTTGATTGACTTCTGCTTAAAGTCAAAAATTAAAATGGACTCAGAATATCTCTTCTTTTGTGTTCAACAGCAGAAAGAAACTCATAAAGATTTAAAATAAGTATCTTTTCATATTTGGGTGAACGATCCCTTTAAATACCTACCATACATTTATAAATCAATTTCAATGGTTTAATAAATGGTAACACTTTATTTCAGGTCACAATTCAAGCTATTAAAAATGCAGTAGGTGATTGTCTTCAGAAACACTTTTTGATGTGCTGGTTGAAACTCTCTTTATATTCCAATAGCACTGATTAAATTAAATGATCTAAATGTGTTTATATGTATTTTTATATTCTGCGTAAAACTCTTCATCCAATTCAATATATTCGGACTGACAAATAACCCAATTACGACAGGTAACTCAAACTGTGTCAACAAATTTAAATGTGAATTTCTGCGCAGCCTCTTTAAGCAGACAGATACGTCACTCGCATGCACACGCGAAGCACGCATCTACAGCTGACAGCGAGACGTCATCAGGCAAACCGTGCATTTACCTGAACTTTTTTCTGAAAGACCAGCGTGGCCTTGTATTCATGAAAAGAAAGATTGTATCTGAAAGGGCTCCTGCAAAATATGCAGAATCAAAACTTTTCTAAACCCTGAATCAATATCGGGATTACTCTCACACGCTGGAGGGAAATGATGTTATGCAGTTCAAAACAACGATCTGAAGGGGGACACCACAGCTGAAGTATTTCTGTTAGACAGGTATGTGTTAAACTATTTTAGCCAAGCAAAGCTTATGTAGATTGTGTTGTTAATGAATGGGTTTATATGCATGGAAGTGTTGTTCAGCCACGTCCTTCAGAAGATTGGCTATTTTCAAGTTCATGGAGTACCTTTTACAGCATCGACAATATAGTTGGTTAAATAGACCTGAGCATTCGTTTAGGTGTTCAAGTAAAAAAGTAGCTGAAAACTAGCAATGTACGATGATCAGCGAGCACAATTAAAAATGAAAAGTCACTCGTTGTCTTGGTAATGTGAACATAAGTGTAATGTAAACAGATGACAGGATATTTCTGTGTTAGGCACTGCTTTATTCTGATCTAACTTTTATTTAGTTTAATAACAAAACATCAGTAAATGTGCTCTTCCTAACCAGCTTTACTGAGGTCAAGTGTCATTTATATTCATACATTTGTTCATTGTTGAACAGTGACAGTCTGGGACACGCCAACGACTACGCTTGATGAAGTGCGTGTCTCCTGAGATTTTGTGACTGTATCCGATTTTTTTGATGACCTGCTTACATCATCTTTTAAAAGCGACTCGTATCCGATCATCTGCAGTTACACAGCACACGGCAAGGGCGCAATGACCAGGAAAAACAAAGACCAGGCGCTGACTAACAGCTGATAATAAAAGAGTTTCTCTATTCCAGTATTCAATCTGTTTGCAGGTTTTACTGTAGGTTATGACAGAAAGGTTCTCATTTGTCCATCTTCTTTTAATATATAGGCTTTGTAAACCTTCAGGCATCTTAATGTAATGTCCATGGCGTGATCTATTTAAGTTTGTGATGTATGCACTCGTTTAGTATTAGTTTATATTGGTTACGTGGCGGAAATGGCGCTCTCTCGCTCTTTAACATGCATTAATACCTGTGCTATATGACTATTTCAAAGCTGTTTAAGTCCTCGTGTATGATATTTAAGGTTTGGGACTCTGCTGAAGTCTGTTCTGAAATGAAAGTGTCAGACTTGACGTCATTCGCTACGGTTTTTAATGATGCACGACTCGCATTGACAGGTGAAAATCCGATCTACCTGCTTACACTGCAGACACGAGAACACAGATCCCATTTATATAGAATACGTTTCCACATATAAACAAGGCTTGAATCTGATTTGAGTAAATGGGAATCCATGTGATCTGTTCCTTCTTACACATACATGGGCTATATCCGATCTGTGCCACATGGGAGAAAAAAAAAAAGTCACAGGAACAGTGCAGTGTAAATGCGGCCTTAGAGTCTTCTAACTGGTGAATGACATGATCTAGTGTTATATCTAATCAGTGCATGTTCATGACTTTTGGAGGCATTGCTTTGGACAGCAGGGGAGGGTCGTAAAGTTTCTAGGCTATTATGCTAATGCTAGCATTCTGGCTAGGGTTGTAACGGTATGAATTTTTCACGGTATGATAATCGTCTAAAACAATACCACGGTTTGACGGTTTCGCGGTATACGGTATGTTACAAATGTTACAAAATAATAGAACAGTGAAGCAAATTTGACTTTTTCCAAATAATATATTTTTAGTTACTATAAACAACCCCACTTACAATGAACAAATAAAAATAAGAAAATAATAAATAATGTGTCAAAGTCCAAATAAAGTCCAAATAAACATGGTGCAAATCCTCAGTAAAAAATAGATATAAATATTTACTATACTATAAATAGTTACATAACGAAACTAGATTCAATATGGAACATCCTTAGGTTTTATGTGCCAGCATGGATATGGTTGTCTGTGGATATGGATTTGGATATGGTTGTCTGCAATGCAGACAAACAGCTGCACCTTCATTTGTGTCTTTTGAAAACAGCAAGAGCAGCAGTTCGTCTTTGCTGTGTCACTGTTTTGTCATGTTTCTGTGCTGCTGTGCATGCAAAAGTACTTAGTATGAGAATTATTTCATGCAAAACTTTTTTTTTTTGCGTTTTATTTAGCCGCGCATAAATGTATGCCTATCTCTCATTCCGTGTTGTTCAAAAAGCTTGGTCCACAAACAAAAGCGAAACCTATGCTTATTGGTTGTGATATAGCGAGTTTGAACCAATCTGGGCATGGAGGAGGGATAATGCATCAATGTATCATGTCTGATTTGTCCGGAGACACAGTGACGAGCGTTTCTTTGTCAAATCAGCGTTGTCAAATTTTGATGACGTAACCGCACTGATTCCGGAGCCTCTGAAAGTCCGCGAATGTTATGTGATACAGCACTGGAAAGCTGCGATTCTCTTCTTTATGCCAATCTTTGAATTGTATGAATCGGATCAGCGGATCAAAAGTTATTAAACATTTAAGAGCAATACTTATTTTTAGCCGCGGGCGGCTGTCTCGGTCTTTAAGGGTTAAAACCGTTGATATGCAATTGTTCATGGTATGATAATCGTGCACGTTCAAATCGTGGTAAACCGTCATACCGGTATATTGTTACAACCCTAATTCTGGCACATCACCGACTGCACCTTTAACTACTGGCTTATTACCTGCCTATTATTAAGATATAAACTGTTCATTAGTAGTTATAAAGTATGACCTTGTTCTTCATCTCTAATGCAACCCAATACCTAAACCCAACTTCTAACTTACTAACTATTAATAAACAACTAATCAGTAGTTTATTCAGCTAGTACTGTTAGTTAATGGTTTGTTAATGCAGTGCTTTTTGACCTAAAGTGTGTTCATAAATATAACTAAAACAATGTGTAAGAAGATATTGATTAATAAACATATAAACAAAAGCAGTGGTTCTGTCATCTCACCAGGAGCGGGTGACGGTGCGCCCTCATATCCGTAACCATTCACTTTGGGGGATTCATGAGGAAGAAGCTCTTTCCCGTCTGGACCGACTTTACCTTGTTTAAACTAGACAGAAGACAGAAGAGAAATTTATCATTAGACAACAGTGGATTTTCTGTAGCCAATCGGGAAAAAAAAACTTTATTGGGGCTAATAATGCTGAGCTTAACATTATTTTAATAATAATAATAATATTAATAATAATATTTCCTTACATTTAAATAGTGCTTTTCTGGACACTCAAAACACGTTACACATTGGGGGGGAATCTCCTCACCCACCACCAGTGTGCAGCATCCACCTGGATGACAGGACGGCTGAGATATTGTGCCAGACCGCACACCAGCTGATTGGTGGAGAGGAGACAGAATGATGAAGCTAATTATAATATGGGGATGGTTAGAAGACCAGATTTGGCCAGGATTCTGGGGTTTAACCCCTACTCTTTTTGGAAGGACATCCTGGGATTTCTAACAGAGTCAGGCCTCAGTTTAACCTGAGCAGTATAGAGTCCAGTATAGAGTTTTGGCTCGCGTTTTCCGTTGACGTTTAACGCCTCGTGACAAAATAAAGGGCGTCAATGTGATCGTGCACACCAACGCGCAAAAAGGCATTTGCAAAAGCGCCATTTAAAAAAAAACGCCTCATGTAACCTTCTCCACCAATCAGATTGGCTCTTTTGTTCACGTGCACGAAGCTGCTGAAGTTACAGTAAACAGCACTTGGAGGCGCTCAAGTTCAAAACTGTCATTGCGCACACTGAAGAAGATGCCCAGAGGCGATATGAACATGGAGCTGCTTATTGCTCTGATGAAAAATAATCATTTCTTTATCACTAGAGCTGCTGCTTAAACCAACGATAACAACAAGTGTGTCATCTTTGTCTTCTTCTTCTGTGTTACAAGCAGGTTTCAGAAGCTTAAAGTTGTGTAGCGCCCTCTAACGTCAAGGAGCGATTTTGCATACTCTTCTGCTTGGCGCCAGTGAAAATGGCTTGGGATTAAATCTGGAAAAACGTCTTGAAAAACGCAAACGAAAAGCGTCCCGGTGTGCAGGGGTCTTAAGGTTGCTAGAAATTGATGGACTAACATGCAAAAAAAAAAATAAACGTTTACACTATATTGTACTCAGGGCTTTACATTAACACCCGCCAACCCGCCAAATGCTGGTAGATTTCAGCGGTGGCGGGTGAGACAGACACTACCACTAGCCACTTTGGCTGGTTGAAAATAATTTTCCCAGATAATAATTCTTAAAAAGCAGGGTTCGACAATAAGGAGCGCCAGTTGCTTTCGGTTAAGCCTTTCTTTGAAAAGATAATTTATGGGACTATCATTAACCATGCGTGTGTGATCATTCTTTCATTAGCACACTGTATGTTTTACCTGCTTTCTTTTGCATTAATATGGTTTAATTATCATTTTTTTTTACAATAACATTGCTTTAATGGGAGAATAACTCCCAATTCATGTGTAGTTAACTGGTGATCTGGGACCTTTAGCCAGGACACATGACTAAAATAAAATAAAAGTATAGTATTCAGCTATATTTTGCATGTTTTCACACATTTAAAATTTGTGGCTAAGAAATAATTAACTGTTTATTTATGGTGTGGTCAGAGATAAATTGGGTAAATCCTTCATTTTGGTCTCTGAAAATTATGAAAACTAATTGTAATATATGAAACTCTGACCCATTTGCTCATGATTATTGAGCAAGCTTATACACAACACACAAAAAGTGAAATGAGTGAAGAGGCTTGTAGAGATAACGCAAACTCTAAATCAAGTAATTTTAGCATGTCAAAGTCATATTTATGTGTATAAAATATATTTTCCCAACAATAAAAATGTGGCTAGTGAAAATGGCGAGTGGCTAGTAATGTTGGAAAACTACCAGCCACAGTGGCTGGTGATCAAAAAAGTGAATGTTAAGCCCTGATTGTACTTTATGCAGTGTTGTATTCTTTAATAAAAATAAGTAAAAACAACAATAAAACAGCTGATTCAGATAAAATCACAGCGAGCATCTGTCTTTTTGAATGAATCATTGAATCACTGACTCAAAAGATTTGTGCAAAAAATGTTTCATTCATAAAGTCAGCTTGTACACTGTTAAAACAATGATTGGTTTAGCTCAGTGGTTAGCACTGTGGCCTCACAGCAAGAAGGTCTCTGGTTCGAGTCCCGACTGGACCAGTTGGCATTTCTGTGTGGAGTTTGCATGTTCTCCCCGTGTTGGTGTGGATTTCCTCTGGGTGCTCCGGTTTCCCCCACAGTCCAAACACATGCGCTATAGGCAAATTGATTAATTAAATTGGCTGTAGTGTACGAGTGTGTGTGTGTGTGTGTGTGTGTGTGTGTGTGTGTGTGTATGGGTGTTTCACAATACATATGCTGGTATAGTTGGTGGTTCATTCCGCTGTGGCGACCACTGAAACAGAGACGAAGCCAATTGGAAATGAATGATATTATTATAAACATGCCAGCGTTACCTGTGCATTGAGCGCAGCAGCTTGCTGGATCTGGGATTTGTTCAGGGCTTTACAGAAAGGGTCGTCCTCAAACCGTGTGTTCTTGTACAAAACCTCCCGTGGCTTTTTGAAGAGTGTGTCGTCCTTCTCACCTTTTGGGGGATAAAATAAACAGACAGACATTCCTGTAAGCCTCCTTGTACGATAGCTTACTGAATATAAACATGCATCACAGTTTCAGAAAGCTAAACGGTTCACCAGCACTAGAACTACCATGGCAGTCGTTTACTTTAATGTAATAACCCGAGATAAAAACTGTAGTGCTCTGTAAAATAAACTCAGTTATTAATTTACAATCTTAACGGTTTCTTAATAAGCAAAGAATTATGCATAAAAACATATGCACATCAACAATACTGATAAAAGAAGATTTTCCTTGTAGGTTAATGTGAGAGGGAGGCTTTACCTTCAGGATAATACATCAGTGAATTTTTGGCCTTGTACTGCCATGTTTCCAGTCCTGCTTTGGTGCACTCCAGAGCCTGTTTCTCCGAGGATGGCAGAGCCAGGTTCTGCTCGTGTCTCTTTAACAGAATAATGAAACCAATCAGAACTCAAGACGGACTCAATACAACACTCCCAGCAGTGACAGGCTGGAACCAGAGCTGGGGAGATTACTGATTACAAATGACATGACAACATTTGTAATGTTATTATCTCTTAGATTACACAGGTATAGTAATGTAATCTGACTACTTTGGATTACAAATGTTTAAATAGAAAATAAACATTAAAAAATAATGTATATAAACATTATCAAAACTGAAAAAATAGGAGAATTGATTAGTTGTACAAATAATATGTAATCGTAATCCATAAAAAGTAACTGTAGTCTGATTCTTTTAAAAGCATTTAACCCTTGTGTGCTGTTGGGGATGTTTTCATCCACTCTGAGGGGATTTTGAGTCTTAATTTAGCCACGACTTTCTCTGTGTGTTCAACAAATGAAATTATTTTTGCTGACTAATCTTATTTTGATGCATATTTTGGAAAAATGCTTTGGACATTTTCAAAAACTCAATTTCATTCATTCATTTTCCTTTGGCTTAGTCTCTATTTCAGAGGTCGCCACAGTAGAATGAACCGCCGACTACTCCAGCATATGCTTCACACAGCGAATGCTCTCCCAGCTGCAACTCAGTACTGGGAAAAACACACACACATATACACTACAGGCAATTTAGTTTATTCAATTCACCTATAATCGCTTGTGTTTGGACTGTGGGGGAAACCGGAGCACCCGGAGGAAACCCACGCCAAAACGGTGAGAACGTGTGACCTTCTTGCTGTGAAGCAACAGTGCGAACTACTGAGCCACCGTGCCACCTCAACAATACACTCTGGGCAAATTTACTACCCCTTCGTTATGTTTGGATCTGTTTTTGCCCCATTGACCATACCTGTCAACCCCTTCCATTTTTCCCAGGATTCTCCCGTATTTTGCAGTTCTATCCCGCTATCATCCCATAAAGGTATTTTCCTGTATTTCTCCCGTATTTTCAGCCTTTCTCTGAAGGGTGGCAAATAAACATTAAAGAGCCGATCCTCCCTATGCGCAACCCATACCGCCGAACCACCAGGGGCCGCCCCTCGCTCTTTAATGCGAGTCTGTTTCGTGCTTTCACCAAGTTGCTTCAACACACCTGCCTGGGTGTTTCAAGTATACCTAGCAAGACCTTGATTAGCTTGTTCAGGTGTGTTTGATTAGGGTTGGAGCTAAAATCTGCAGGACAACAGACTGCCAGGAATAAGTTTGGTGACCCCTGCTCGAAAAAGTCATGTAGCAGTGCGTGACTGTCAGCTGACGTGCTCCATGGTGAAAAAATAGACACTGTTTCCCAAACGGATTCTGTACACGCGATTTGAAGCGGAGGTAAAATCTGGGTTTAGGATGCGTGTTTAAACAGATATATACACATAATTAATAATAATATTTAAAGATGTCGATCTTGGTGAGGTTTTTACAAGCGCAACTAATTTTGTCCTAAATGAGCATAAAAAGTTAGGAAAGCAGTCGAATGCTTTTGTTATAACGTTAGATGTGTGCGTTTTTAAAGTGATACCTGTTATTTAATGTAATCAAACAGAAAAAAATCTAAATAAATAAGAGATTCATTTGTTGCTCTTTAATCAGAATTTGTAAGTTATACAGTGGAGAAACGGCTAATGAGATTGATAACTTGATATTATTTCATCATAATAGCTTTTAATTTTAATAGGCTGAACTGTTTGCTAATGTATTTGCTGCTGATGTATACCGTTTATTTTTTATTTTTTAAACAATAATAATCAAACATATTCTGACCATTTAACTTTTTATTTACAACGAAACAGCTCCAAATAAACATATTTAGTAATTTGGGGATTTGATTTTTGAAGGGGGGGGGGGGGGGGGGGGGTCCCTTATTATGGTGGCCATAACCCCTAATTTTCCTACCCAATGTTGACAGGTATGCCATTGACTTCCATTATAATCACATTTTTTTAATTGCAAAAGCTATATAATCATGCATTCTTGATTGTTGTTGGTTTTCCCTGTTGGGAAGATGTAAAATGTTAAATTTGTACAGTTAATCGTCAGTTACAGTGCAAAAAAAGCTTAGCTTCTGGCTTTTATAAAGAGTATAGTCTGTATCCGTGTTTGTGTGTGTGAAAGAGAGAGAGAGACCTTGATATATATATATATATATATATATATATATATATATATATATATAGATATGTTTGAGAAAATAAAAAATAAACCCCTCGTCTCATAGTAATAAATACAGTAAGTGTATTTCTGCACACACACTATAATCTGCTGTTTTACTCCACAGAACTCTATATAAGAGCCAGAAACTTCTGCTGAACAGGCCTATCTAAAGAGTTCATGCTGCCAACTGACGATCAACAGTCCAAATTAAACATTTGACCCCTTCCCAACAGGAAAAACCAGCAACCGTCAAGAATCCATGATTATGTGCTGTCATGGCTTTGCAATCAAAAAATGTGGTTATAATGGAAGTTAATGGGGCAAAAAAAGCCCTGAACATAACAAAAGGGTAGTCAACACAAGGGTTAACACTTAATTTCAAGAACTTGATTTCCGGAATCTGATTACATCATCCAGATTACATATACTCCGCTACTGCCCAGCTCTGGCTGTAACTATTATTGTGTTGTACCTCTTTGTATTCATTTTCAGCCTCATAAAGCCACGCGTGCCGCAGTTTGTCCTTGTCCTCCGCAAGCTCCATTATCTGCTCAAAGGAGGCGTTATCCTCACTCGTGTTTTTAGAAAGAAATCTATCCAAGGACGGAAGATCCTTCTCTGATGCCTTTTCACCATCTTTTCCTGAAACATTACAAATAAAAGATGCTTTTGAAGGCTCGGGGCTCACAGAATAACCACAGTGAGATTTCATTTAATTAAACAAAGGGTTTCTAATTACTTGAATGCAGGATATTACAGAATAATGGAACAGAAATATGCTAAATACATATAAACCATCCTCATGGTTTCAAAGTTTGTATACTATTTTCATAACAAAGGTCCATTTTAACCTGAATAACTATTATTTTCGAAAACAAAAGTCATAATCAAAAACTAGGCTAAAACTATATCATCTATCTCAGTGTTTCTCAACCACGTTCCTGGAGGACCACCACCACTACATGTTTTGGATGTCTCCTTTCTCTGTCACACTCATTACAGCTCTTTCAGTCTCTGCTAATGAGCTAATGATCTGAATCAGGTGTGTTTGGTTAAAAAGACATGGACAATGTGGAGAGCTGGTGCTCCTCCAGGAACGTGGTTGAGAAACACTGGCAACTTCTCATTAATGTGTGAAACTCTCTTGATATAACCATGTTTGTGTTGCTGCATTAAACACTTTTTTAAATGTATTAATCTTTTAGTAATCCATATATTAATTGATCGTTTTACAAATTTTACATTTTACTCATGTCCAAAATGCCCTGAAGAAAAAATATGTAAGATTTTACAAATGTAAATTTTATTTTAATTAAATACATATAATAACATGCAGAAAATAATGAAAGAATGAATTAATAAACAACAAAAAATTAGGTTTTGATTAATATATAAAAAAAAAAAAGTCATGGAATTTTAATAAAATCTCCTCCTATTAAATATATCTGGCTCGCTTATACATTATGTTTCATGAAAACATGCTGAAAATGTATTTGTTTCAGGCTGTTGACAGGATTTTTTATTATGAAGTGAGATAAGAGAAATATAAAATGCCCTCTGCCCAATTCTCTGAATATATATGCAAAATGTGCAAACTTCATTAAATATTGCCACAATTCAGAAACCTTTTTACGCAGAACAGCTGTTATAATATTCTGTGATTAAATATGTGAGGATTCCTGATAACATCTATTAATTTAAAGCTAAAAAACCCTCAAATCCAGTCTCTTACCATCTTCTCTGGCTGCTCTGCTTTTACTCTGTGAAGATGAAGGAGATGCACTTCGGCCATCAGGAGTCTCAAATGTTGAAGGTGTCACATCTGTAGAGAAACACAAAGATTTAGCTGTCAGTATCAGTATGTTTGTTTTAAGTTGGCAGTTCATTCCGCTGTGGTGACCCCTGATTTAATAAAGGGACTAAACCAAAAAGTAAATGAATAAATGAAATGTATAGGTGTACTATTGACCACATTTAAGGGGGGGACTATATAAAATCTCCAAAACGTTTTGGTCATATCATATGGCCTCACTGATAATCATTTAGAATAATAATGGTTATGATTTTTCCTGTAACTGAGCAGCCCTACTCACGGGGCACATAAGTGCGTGGTGTGTATTTGGCCATGGCAGAGCCGTATTTGATGGCGATCTCCCTCATCCGCTCCAGATCTCCGTTCTCCTCCGCCTCCAGATAATCCTTCTGCGCTTGAAGTTTGGAGACATCAGGAAAAAAGTCCCTCTGGATGATCTTCTCCAAACTCTTTAGAGGAAGAAAAAAAAAAAGGTGTCATTAGCAAAACAAAAGCTTGATGTTTACAGGCGACACATGAAAGTGGAGCAGCTGCAGCTGTAGAACACATATACTACACCAGGCGGTGCATGAGGAAAGCCAAGAGAATTATCAGTGACTCCAGCCACCCAAGCCATAGACTCTCTCTGCTACCCTCAGGCAGACAGTTTCGCAGCATCCGATCACGCACCAGCCGGCTGAAGAAAAGCTTCTTCCCTCAGACTATCAGGCAGATGAACACTTAACAGACCACACACAGACTCTTCCATACACCTCACTGCACACCATCAATGCATGCACTGCACTTTAACCAATCCATACTTGAAACAATACTGCCTACAACTATGTGGACACCTATTCATTGCACATATCGCTGTCAATTTCACATTGTCGTTGTATTTTGCACTGTCTGTATTTTTGCACTGTCGTTGTATTTTGCACTGTCTGGAGCCAGCACCTAAGCTTTTCACTCATCATAGCACACGTGCTGCTGCTGATGAGACAATAAAAGTGATTTGATTTTGATTTGATGTACACAAGTCAAGGAGTAAAAGGCATTTTCAACTATTACAGGGTTCAACGCTACGGATTTTTTTCTACTGGCCCGATCGGACCAGTGGTTCAGATTTTTACTTGCCCTGCCAATATTGTCACTGGCCCCACCAAAAAAAAGTTATTAGCTATTTCTTAGCCACAAATAAAAAAAATGTCAAAATGTTTGTAAATCTAGAATTTAAATATTTAAAGAATATTAAAGTGTTTTGCAAACAAAAGTAGCAAAATGTGCAGGTATTTTATTGCAAAACAAAGGATGACTGACCTGCCAAACTAACGGCAAACTATACAAAACATCACTGTTTTTTTAGTCGTGGTTTACCCTCGTAAATGTCTGCTTCCAAGACGTTAGAGACAAATGTTTTCCTTTAGCATCATCACTTGATGTTGCCGCCATGTTGCTGTCTCTTAGCTCTACTGGTTGTTACGGAAAAAAAAATAACATGCTCACAACAGCCAATCAGATAAGAGGAACCAAGAAGGTAACATTTGAAAAACACAAACGGTTTCTCTATTCTGACTGTATTTGCACGCAATTGACAAATAGTCACAGGCAAATCAAACTTTAGTGACAGGGCATTAGTGGCCCGATCGGGCCAGTAACGATCCTGTCTACTGTCCCGAGCATCTCACACGCTGGCCCCGGGCCATCGGGCAGTCCTTATTGTTGAGCCCTGCATTACAATAAATAGTTTTTAATCTTTATATGTTGTCATTATTTGTCAGCAAGACCTTTTGAACAATATAAATATATATAGATATGAATAATCAATAATAAAACCCTTATTCTCCCTGCTGAAAAATCCAGCTTAAACCAGCCTAGGCTGGTTGGCTGGTTTTAGCTGGTTGACCAGCCTGGTTTTAGAGGGGTTTTGGCCATTTCCAGCCTGGTCTTAGCTGGTCAGACTGGAAAATGACCAGCTAAAACCAGCTTGACCAGCCTGGTTTAAGCTGGACATAGCTGGTTTTGGCTGGGCTCCCATCCTGGCTAGGCTGGTTAAGCTGGTTTTAGTTGGTCATCTCCCATAACGTAAATTTAATCTAAATTTGTCACTGACAGTAATAATCAATAACACAAAATATTCTTTTTTGTATTTATCAGGGATGGTTTTGTGGTGTTATCTCACCTCTATATACTGTTCTTCATCGAGAATCTTCCTCTTGGGTTTTTTGCTCTCCTCCACAGGATTCCTGACAGCGACTGTAGTAACATCAGACCTCAAACACACAGCTTTCTCTCTAGACTCGGCCATGTTTCTCCTTTAATGAACGAAACTGTTATTTTAAAGCGACTTAAACTCCTATTGCGCAAGTTGTTTACGTTAGCTATGCGCTAAGTACGCTCTCTCTTTTACTTTCTATCTACATGACAACATATGTAGTATATTTACGATATTTTGCGGTAAATGGTGATTGTTAAATTGATCTTATCGATATAAAGGAGAACGAAAATCAATGTAATATCAACAAAACGTCGTCACATCGCATGCAGGAAAAGCCTCTTCTTCGTCTTCTTCTTATAATATAGCGGCGATTCCAGCGATTTTGATGCATCACCGCCACCTTCAGCTCCGGAGTGCGGTTCAGCGTCCTCTTTTTTAATTTATTTTTTACTATTAACCTTTTGTAATTTAAATTTAATTACAACTTTAAGAATGACTAACATTGACTCACTCAACACCTCCACACAAGCATTTTCAACAAGTCCTGATGTACAGAAAAAGTAATAGCTATAACGTTACGTTCTACTGTTAGTGTGTACGAGGAAATACTGAAAAAGCAATCAACATTTGATAAACTGGGACATACAATAATTAAAGATAGTTTTTATACAAAAAAGTCTTAACCACAGCGACTCTCTGGCGTTTTCTGTTGACTAACGACTGCATATCAACTAACGTGCACAGTCATACCATAGAGAGATTGTAAATATATTTAGCGTCATTACTGTGACGCAGAACAACATTAAATAACTCTTATTCATTACTGCAAGGGGTAGGTTTATGGTTGGGGTGGGTGTAGACAAAAACAAAACAACAGGTTAATGTGTGAAGACGTTGAAGAGTCATGAACTCGTCATAATCTACAGTTAAAATGTTATTATACGGATCAATAATCAATTAAAAAATCTAATGATGTATTTGTAGAGGCCTGAAACGTGTATGAAGGGCAGGATAAAGGAGCTGGATATAGCCTAACTTGTTTTTTTGCACACGTATATATGGGTTATACCCTGCTGAAAAAAACTGCCTAAACCAGCCTAGCCTGGTTGGCTGGTTTTAGAGGGGTTTTGGCCATTTCCAGGCTGGTGTACCAGCTAAAACCAGCCTAGGCTGGTTTAAGCTGTTTTTTTCAGCAGGGTACGAGCACTTTTATGTCGTTTGGTCATACAGTATATCCAAAAATATATATATAATTTGGTTCAAATTCCTCTGTCTTTGTCAAACTAACAATAAAACCTACTTTTAAAAATTTACTAGTTCTGTTATATATTTTTCATATTATTCATCCTCTTTTTAGGTGCCAAAATCACTGTTTTCACCTTGTTGCACACCCAGTTTTACTTTAACAATGAAAATAACATTTTAAGATATTATTTATCTGGTATCTATTAATGTATCTTAATGAAGCACTGGTGAAATAATTTAAATAT